GGCACCTGGGTGGCTTAGTGGTTAAGCATTTGCTTTCGGCTCAGGTCATGATCCTGGGGTCCTGGGATCAAGTCCCACACTGGGATCCCCCACAGGGAGCCTGCTTCTCCCTCTACCTATGCTTCTGCCTCTTTCTCTGTGTCTCTCATGAATAAATAAATAAAATCTTAAAAAAAAAAAAAGGAAATAGGGTCTGTAGATGTAATCAAATTAGGATGAGTTTACATTGGATTAGAGTGGGCTCTACTCCAATAGAACTGGTGTCCTTACAACAAGAGGGGAATAGGGACACAGACACCCAGGGAAAGTGTCACGTGAGGATGGAGGCAGGGATGGGAGTAACGAATGCATCTATAAGCCAAGGAATGCCAAGGACTGCCAGCAGCCACCAGAAGCCATGAGAGAGGCATTGAATATATTTTCTTTTTGAATCCCCCAGAGAAGAAACCAACCATGCTGACGCCTTGATTTTGGATTTCTGGCTCCTGAAAGGTGAGAGAATAAGTTCGTGTTGTTTTAAGCCACCTAGATTGTGGCATTTTGTTATGGCAGCCCTTGGATCAAATATACAGATCCAAGGCCATTAACTGGAAATCACCCCCACTGATGCATGTTAACAGAGCCCTAAAAAGCACCAGTGGCCCTGACAGCTCTCCAAATGTTCATTGCAGATGAGTCATCACTGGGCCTATTGTGGATCTCTGAAACCAAGAAGCCTGAGTCCCCCAAGGGGGAAGGAAGGAGGCTTTCCACCCGATTAGCAGGAAGAGGATGCTGGAGGGGTGGGGGGTTGCCAGCTGCTTTTCTTCCCCACTGGGGCAGCCCAAAAAAGGGGACTATCTTCACTATTAAATGTCACAGTCATTTACTTTCGCTCCCTCAGTAAGTATTGGGTGGAGCACTTATGGTGCCGGGTGCTGCTGGGTGGAAAACATGTGCGTGTGGATGAGGGAGGAATGCTACTGAAATAGAGCACACATTCCGTGAGTTGTATGAGCCATGCTGGAGTGGGAGACCAGGTCATGGTGGGTCGCCAGCATGGACTTGGGAATCAGACAGTCCTGCTTGAATACTGGCCTCCCACCGACTTCCATTGTGATCTTGGTTGAATTACTTAATCCCTCTGGGCCTTTGTCTTAGTGTAAGTATTAGATAAGATGATGTTTATAGAATAAGGCCAGAGTTAAGTCCTCAGTAAATGTTATTTTCATCATAGGAGAGCAAAGATGTTCACCAGAAACAGCTCAGTACAAGAGCAAGATGATTATGATCAAACAAGACCCCATCACCTCTTGCTTGACACTATCTGATCAAATGCTCAGAGTAGCTCTGGGAGGAAGTTAGTCTCAATTTACAAATAACTGTGGTTTAGGGATGTAAACACTTAGTCAAGTTCACAGAACAAGGAAAGTGGCCGAGTCAGGATTCCAACTAGAGTTCCCAAGCTCATATTTTTCTTATTCCTGGGCAACCTTCATTTGCAAGTCAGGATGGGAGTGGGTGGGGCAGCATATGGTTGAGGGAGATGGAGAGGGCCTATATTGTACTTACAAGTTTATTCTGCTTAATTAAAAATACGCCTCTAGTGCTTCCTATAGGGTGTGCTTTATGTTAGTAACTCGTTTATCTTCACAGGAGCCTAGAAGGTGGGCACTGTATTATTTCTAGACACGGAGAGGTTAAGCAACCATTCCAAGGTAGTGGAAGCAGGATTCACACTTGCTTCTTTAGCTCCAAGAAACCTTGCTCTTAACCACTGTTCCATACTGCCTTATCTTTTGGGCTGGCGGTGGTTTAGCTGTCTGAGCATGTACTTTGGTGGGGGGGTTGAGGGGGGAAAAGGGGAATTAACACCCTCCACACAAGCCACCCTTTGGTGCTATTGCTGCAATAAGATCGGGAGTCATTTGACCCTATAAGGTGAATGGCAGGATGGGGGCTGTTTAGCCCTGGATTTCTCTTGAGTCAACAGCTTTTCATCCCTGCCCCACTTCCTGAAAACTCTTTGCTCCTCAGCTTTGGAAATCCTTTGAGCACAAAGAGCTCATTTCCTGTGGCCAGGAAGGACAGGCAAGTTCCTGATGACAGCTCATCTCCCTCATTAAGGCGCTCATAAAAGTGTTTCAAAGGAGCCTGACTTATGGCTCCGCTGTTTGTCAAGATCCCCTTCTGCAAGGAGCCACTCTGGTAATTTGGTGCTAGGAGATGTGCAGGGGAAACCAGCTCCTTTGAGTCTGGGAATTATTTATGATCCTAAGAAGAGGGAATGTCATTGGAGAGATAACAAGGGTTCAGCAGCACAACAGGCTGTTTAATATGCCACAAGGGATGGGGAGCAGCTTCAAAATTCCAAAGCCAGCTTGGAAACCTTGAGAGATTCTGTACACATGGGTTGTCTGTTCCTAGGAAAGCTCCTGAGGCAATAACAGCTAACAATTATGGAAGTCTTATCCTGAGCCAGGACTTGTACTAAATGCTTTTTATATGTTAATTCGTTTAATTCTCATGGCTGTTCCCATCCTATTTTACAAATGAGGAAATTGAGGCATGGAGAGGTTAAGCAACTTACCCAAAGTCACACATTAGTGAGTAGCTTTTATCCCAAAAAAGTCTGCCTTCACAGTTGGGCCTTTTTAAGATTATATTTGTTTATTTGACAGAGAGAGTGAGCACACAAGCAGGGGGAGCAGCAGAGGGAGAGGGAGAAGCAGGCTCTCCACTGAGCAGGGAGCCTGATGTGGGGCTTCATCCCAGGAGCCTGGGATCTTGACCTGAGCTGAAGGCAGACACTTAACCGACTGAGCCACCCAGGTGCCCTGGCACAGTTGGGTTTTTGAACCCAGTCACAGTTTAGGAGGAAATTGGCTTTTAAATCAGCCCAATAAAGTGAAATGTACAATACATTCAAAATTACCTTTGATAATCCCTTAAAATGTCCATAAAGTTTAGCATATTTAATCTGAGGCATATGGCCTTGTCCAGTAATCAGAAAAGCACTGAGCTAACTTAAAGGAAGGAGAAGGTTAGCCCATATGCAGATGTTTATACTTTTAAACTACTCTGTTTTTTAGGCAAATTATCAAATCACTAGGGGTAAGAATCAAGAGGCAGAAAATTGTAGAGAGTTCTTACCCACCTACAGAGGTGACTCTATTCTTTTACTATTTAGCCTCTGTGACCTTAACACATACCACCTGTCACATGATGTTTTTTGCTGGACTAAGAGAGAGCATAGTCACATTTTAAGAAGGGAGGCGGGAAAGTTCTGTTACAGATGTTCAAGTCCAAGCCTAAATTAAATGAACCTGGTACAAAGAGATTTCATGAGTCTAGCTTTGGAGCGTGATAAATCTAGATTTGAACCTAAATCTGTTACTTACTAGCTATGTAGCCCTTGGAAATTTGCTTAATTTCCGAAAGCCTCAGTTTTTTAAATCTGTAAAATGGTAACAGCAACACCACCTTTGAGAAGACCGAATGAAAAAGTTTGTAAAGTATTGAGTATAAGTCATAGCACTTAAGTACTAGCTTTTAAAAGCTGTTTGACCTGAGGCAGCTCTTGCACCTCTCTGAGCCTCATTTCTCCTCACTGCAATATGGGCATACCTGTCTGCCTACTAAACCTCAAAGGTCATTGTAAAGGAACACTAAAGCACGGTACAAAGTTTGCAAGAGGATCTTTTCTCCGCCGCTGGGTATACCTGGAATTGTGAGGAGGTACTGGGAGACCCCTGCTGGAGAAAGTCACTCGAAAGAGTCCTGGGCCTGAAGTGAAAAATGGGCTCAGAGCTCCCCTTTGGCCATTTGGTGTGACTGTGTGACTTCGGGTGAGTGACCTCATCTCTCCGAGCGTCCACTTTCCCTTCTTTTAAGTAGGGTTAACAGTCCTGCCATCACAAGGTTACCCCGAGATTCATATCCTGCAGAAAAGCGCCAGGCACGTGGTAAGCGCTCATTTACTGTTTGCTGAGTCTGAATCCTTCTGAAAGGAGCCAGGTTCCACCCCTCTCCCTCCGCGGGGTGGGAAAAGTGCACGGTGTCTCCACACGGCATTCAGGTAGGAGGGATGCTCCTGGGGGCCACGGGGCTCCCGGGCCTCCCCGCTCCCGGTAGCCCCCCCGCCCCCGCCCTCCCAGCCGTTGCCATGGCCACCGGTTCAGGCCCGGAGCAGCACCTAGGCGTGTTCAACCCAATCCCCGCCTTTCCAGAGTGACCATTGGCTGGGGAGGCCACGTGACGCACGCTGGTATGCTAATATATGGTAATCGCCCCACGCCCCTCCTCCCCGGCTGTGTCCGAGTAGCCAGCAGGGTGCGCGGCGCCGAGCCGAGGGGGCGGGCTGAGGGGCGGCCCCCGGGAGAGAGCGGCCAGGTGGAGGAGGAGCGCGAGCGCGACCGCAGGTAACGGGCGGGCGCGTGCGCGCTGGGGCAGGCTCGCGGCGGACGCGAGGCGCACGGGGCGCTCGGGCCGCCGCGCTGCCGGCTTAACCCTTTGGGCACCCAGCTGTCACGGCCGGGCGGGGGTGCGGCGGCCGGGCCGGGCCGGGCCGGGCCGCGCGGGGCGGGGCGCTGCCGCGGGCACCGGCGAGCGGGCGGCGGGCGGCCTGACCCCGGGATTCGCGGCGCGGGGCCGGCGGGACGACCGGCCGCGACGCGCAGGGAGCGGGGACCCAGCGGCCGCGAGGGCTGCGGCGCCGCTGCGGGGCCGGCACTTGCGGCAGGCTGACGGGCACCGGCGGGAGCACCGGCCCGGGCGGCTTCCCGGGGGCCGAGCCCCTTCCGCGCAGAGGCCCGCGCAGAGGCCTGCGCCCGCCGCGCTCGTCCCGCAGAGTGCGAGGAGCCCCGGGCGTCGGGCCTGACCTCGGCGTCCTCCCCGCCGCCCCAGCCGGGCCTGACAGCCCGGCCGCCCGCACTTTTGACCCGGAGTCAAGCTGGGGCCCCCAGTGGGACGAAGGCGAGATTGGCACTTAAAGGGGCACCAGCAGAGGGAACTGGGGGTTGCCGGTGCTGGGAGGAGAGGACAATCCCCTAAAGGAAAAGCAGGCCCCAAGACTTGCCAGGTTTGAGAAGGAGGGATGCCCAGGAAAGGCACTGGCCCCTTGTTTTCTGTGCTGGGTGATGACCTGACACTCATGGGCAAAGGTCACTGCCGGACACCAGGATCGGGTCTGTCGTGTCCAGAAGAAGCGGCTGTTCTGCGTGAGTTTCTAACAAATTTCTTATAAGGCAAGGTTTAAATTCATCTTCCTTCCTCACCCTACTCCTAGGTCTGCTACAGAGTGTTGTGTTCTTTGGATTATCCACCCCCCCCCCCCCAACCACCAGGAGATAACTAAGGTCTGTGGCAGCTTTCGGCTCACGGTGTAATTTAGCTTTCACTACAACAGAGATGGTAGGATGGGCCATGTGCCACTAATGTTAAGCTTGCCCTGGGAGCTTCTTGGAAGTGTGTGTGTGTGTGTATGGTGGGGGTGGGAGGGGATGCTGCTATTATCAATGGGAATGAAAATCTCGCTGATGTGCCAGTGATATCAATAGAATTTCCTTTATGAGTCTAAAGTCGCTTCTCCCAAATCAAGGGAAGATGTGGTTACACATGAAAAGTACCAGGAACCAATTTGATTTTTGCAAGTGAAGTGCAAATTGCACTGCTTACTGCTCTTGATGTCTTTTATCCCATAACAACAAACACTAGCTATATGCCAGGCACTCTGCTGTGTCTTGTGCTATGTCTTGGGGCTGCAGAGATGAATAAGATAATTAGTCCTTGTCCTCAAAGAAGTAGTGAGAGAGACAAATAAAATTGCCAGTAAAAGTGATAGCATAATAGATGTGTATATAAAGAGCTATGGAAACACAAAGGCGGGAACAATTAGCTGTCTGAGAGGGTCAGAGAAGGCGTTCCAGAAAAGAACATGTTTAAGCAAGATCTTGAAGGATGAATAGGAGTTTGTCTTGCAGAGAAGATTGGGAAGGACAGGAATGGCAGCCAAAGCAGAGGAATCAGTGAATATAGACGCTTGAAGGGTATGATATCTCCAGGCAATGGCTTTATATAGCAGCCATGGCCTTCTTCCTTCCTCGATAAAGTAACTTTCCAGAAGTAATCTAGAATTTCTAGTTGCCACTACAATTTTCTTTTTTTTTTTAATTTTTATTTATTTATGATAGTCACAGAGAGAGAGAGAGAGAGAGAAGCAGAGACATAGGAAGAGAGAGAAGCAGGCTCCATGCACCGGGAGCCCAGGATCGCGCCCTGGGCCAAAGGCAGGCGCTAAACCGCTGCGCCACCCAGGGATCCCTGCCACTACAATTTTCCAGTGGTGTTTTCCTTCTTCTTCTTTTTTTTTTTTTTTAAAGATTTTATTTATTCACGAGAGACACACACGGGGGGGGGGGGGAGAGAGAGAGAGAGAGGCAGAAACACAGGCAGAGACACAGGCAGAGGGAGAAGCAGGCTCTATGCAGGGAGCCCGATGTGGGACTCGATCCCAGGACTCCAGGATCACACCCTGGGCCGAAGGCGGGCGCTTAACCACTAAGCCACCCAGGCGTCCCTCCTGCTTATTCTTCCTCCCCACTTTTTCCCCTCATCAGTTTTTCTGAGCCTCACCCCTGGTCTTTGTCACTTGTATCTTTCCAAGTAACAGTCCAACATGTGGAGACGGGGGAAGGGATACTTTGCAGTAGCTCCCAAGTAGAAGGCCTGGACACAGGGTAGAATGTGTGGTAATAGAGGCACAATCCTGAGAGGACAAGAGGAAAATAGAGGGCATAACCAGGGAGGCAACGCTGAATGTCAAATCTAATGTCAGATTTCTGAGACCTAAGGAAGTGAGTAATAAGGTCAGAAGCCGGGAGGATCTGGAGCAAGAGAGGATCTGGCCTGTGATAGGGGTCAGGACAAGCAGTTCAGGATTGAGCCATGAATCATGCAGAAGCAGCAGAGCCCACTGTTACGTGGTGCCAGCCGCAAAGGACAGGGTTGGATCTGACAGCTTCAAGCAACTATTCAGAAAAGGACAACGCCATCTCCTCAATAGACTATTTCTAGCATTTCCTTTCTGTTCTGTCTCCCTCCTTACTGTTACCTCTTTTGCTCCCATTTTCCACCCATGATGCACTTTTCTTAGCAATCAAAGCAGAGAAATCCTGTTCTGCTGTCTTAGCATCCACCTCCAGAATGGTCCGTTTAATGTCATAAGCCATCAACTAGCCAGCCTATTTTTACTTCCTAATCATTTGGAAACAGCAAGGATTGATCTAGAGGTGGTACTGTGGACATCCCCCAAACTCATCTCATGTTTGGATCAGATAAAGGCTTTTTAGCTTTGCTTAAACCACATTTCTTTTTGGAATGGATAGTGGTGAATTTTTGGCAAATCCCCTGTCTTGAGCTCTACTACAGATCAAGCAATGTGAAGAAGGTGATATGCCTAATATACATTGCTAGGATTGACGATTCTGTTAAGTGCTAGAGTCACAGGTGCTATTTAAGCAATTTTCTCAATCACCATGTTTACTGAGCACCTGCTTGTGTGCAAATACTGTGCTGTATTTGTGGTTTGGAAGAGACAGGAAAATGAGAGAGGTGGTATAGTCTGGGGAGTAGTCTCACCTAAACAAGGACTTGGATCCCAGTTCTACCAGTTACTTGCTATGTGACTTGGACAAGTTAGTTGACTTTCTTTCTTCATCTGTAAGAATGCAACCTAACTCATGGAGTTGTGAGGATTTTTTTAAAAGATTTTATTTATTTATGAGAGATACAGAGAGAGAGAGAGGCAGAGACATATGCAGAGGGGGAGAAGCAGGCTCCATGCAGGGAGCCCGATGCGGGACTCGATTCCAGGCCTCTGGGATCACACTCTGAGCCGAAGGCAGACACTCAACCACTGAGCTACCCAGGCGTCCCAGTTGTGAGGATTAAATATAAAGCGGCCATTCAGTAAATTTTCAAAGCGCTGAAACATGTGGTATTATAGTAGTCAAAAAAAAAAAAAAAGATCATTATGGGCTACAATTATGAAGGAAGGCTTTTTTCAGAGGCATGGTGATTTTTGTTATATAAAGAGAAGGAGGGTGTAAGGAATTTCCAGATGGGAAAAATCATGTTTATAAAATACAGGACTGGAGTAGGGAAGTTAGTTTTAGGGACCAATCTGGCAAGATCAGAGATTTAAGTAGAGAAATTTAAGACTGGAAGGGGTGGTAGAAGCCAGATTTTAATAGGCACTGGATGCTGCACTAAGGAGTTAGAACTTTATTCTGTATGATGGAAAGTCTGAAGATGTTTGGTTAGGGAAATGTAGGGGGTCCAGTGCAAAATGGATGAAAAAATAACAGTATTTAAAAAAAAATTCTCAACAACAGTGTAGACAATAAACTTTAGTAGGTGTAGAAAGAGAAGAGAACTGCACAACCAGCTAGCACATTATTTAAATAGTCTAGATGTGAGGGGGTAAGGAACTGAATTAAGGTGATGGCAGTGAAAACAAAAGATGGGTTCAATTAAGTATCACAAAGGAAGTGTGAACAGGATGTGGATATGAAGGACAAGAAATAAGGAAGAGGGGCAGCCCTGGTGGCTCAGTGGTTTAGCGCCGCCTTCAGCCCAGGGTGTGGTCCTGGAGTCCCGGGATCGAGTCCCACGTCGGGCTCCCTGCGTGGAGCCTGCTTCTCCCTCTGCCTCTCTCTCTCTCTCTAATGAATAAATAAATAAAATCTTAAAAAAAAAAAGAAAGAAAGAAAGAAGGAAGAGTCAAATATGGCCCTGAACATGGGTGACAAGATTAACAAGATTGTTTGCTATGTACCAAACAAAAAGGAAAGCCAGTTTGGGGAGAAGAGGAAAAGCTGGGTGCTAGACATCTTGAGGTGATATTAGAACTTACAAGCGGACATGTCCCCTAAGTATTGGGAAGTGGGAAGTTGGTGCTCAAAAAAGAGAAGTCAAGGAGTCTGATGTGAAGGTGATCATTGAAGCCATGTGATTAGTCGACCAGAGGTGGCAGTGTACAAGCCGAAGTGTAGAGGACCAAAGGTTGAAGCTTTGTGGGCAAAGCCCACATTTAGGGAGATAGGAAGAAGAAACATGGTCAGTCTGGTAGAACAGGACTATCAGAGGAGTCAAAGAACCACCTAATTTATTCATCCGACAAATGCATTCTCTTCATGATCATTTGTATACCTGATAGATGCAAGGCTGACTGAACAAGCTGTTATCCATGAAGGTGCAGTGTCAGAGTCAGAAAGAAGTCAGGAAGAAGACAGGGTCTCAAGATGGAGGAATTGATTAGTAGTATGACATTGTACAGAGGAAGTCGGAAATGTCCATTTTATTTAGTAAGCACAGGCTTATTAGTAACTTTTTGAGAATAATAGCTTCAGTTCAGTGGGGGGTGGCCATGGGCATATTAAACACGAGAGTAAAGAGGATTATGGCATAAGATGTGGATAAAAAATGGAGGCAGCATGTACATTGCCCTTTGTATGCTTTGCGATAAATGGGAAGAGAGGAGTAGGAAAGTGATTAGAGAAGGCGATTTTCCTTGTCTGCCTCATTATTTCAGTTGTCCCCAAATCCCAATTGCATGCTTTCATATCCTTAATAGCAGTTCAGCAATTCATTCTTTAACTTATTGCTTTGATAATTACCTGCATATTTCAATGAACAATATTAGTTCAGCTACCACATGTTGAGTGCTTACTATGTGCTAAACACTTTGTATACATTCTATTCATTATCCTATTTAATCCTCACAATACTAGATTACAGCCACATAACCTCTTGGAAGAATGAAGAAACTAAATAAACTGCCTAAGATCACATGAGTAATGGGTAGCTTGATGGGATTTGGACCTGACTCTGACCCTAAAGGACCATGCTATATTGTCCCTGAAGGCAAGACCAGCTTTGCAACCTCCCAGAATCCTGCACTTAGAAAGCCTTCTCACTTGGTTATAATGCTCCATTGTTGATCTCTTGAAATTCTTAGTTTTTTAACAAGGGTCCTGCTTTTTCATTTTGCACTGGACCCAAGACATCATTGAATAAGTTCTGCCTGAAGGCATCAATACTATCTCCTAAAGTGGGAAAAGCATGTTGTACTAGAGCCCTTGCTTTGGTTGTGTAGTGTGTCTAAGTCCTTGTGTCATGGTGCACATGGTGCAGCATTTTCCTGTGGTCTTCTCATTTT